CTCACACACACCACTGCTCCTATGCCCTACTACCGCCCCATTTCCCAGCAGACCTCAGGTAAGTTGTCAAACTGTTCTTAAACGGTTTGTCTACTTACTCTAGGAGGGGGGCCCGGCACTATTGACACCATAACCACTACACTGAGCTGTAGTAGTTATTGTGTCTGGATTATTTCTTTAAATAATCTACAAGTGCCCCTCCCGAGATCAGGCTCTGGATCCGCCACTGGTTCAACCGGCGCCTGGCGGCCGCCACGGCTGGGATTTTGAGGCCGTCTCACTTTGTTCGCTTGACCAAAGCGCTCAGGGAGGACTTGGCAGTATGGGCAGTCTTTCTGGATGGGTATAACGGCAGGTCCTACTGGCAGCAGCCCGAGGTGACGAACTCGGTGCTACACCTGTTTACGGATGCCACAGGGTCTTCGGGCTTTGGGGCTATTATGGGAAAGCAATGGTATGCAGAGCCGTGGCCCGAATCGTGGTTCACCGCTGGCCTGACCAAGAACATGGCTTTCTTGGAACTCTTCCCCATTGTAGTGGCTATCCATCTTTGGGGGCCAGAGATCAAGAACAGGCGTGTTGTGTTCCACTGTGACAACCTGGGCATTGTCCAGGCCATTAATAGGTTAACGGCCTCCTCCCCTCCGGTGGTTCGGCTCTTGCGGCGCTTGGTTTTACAATGCCTGTCTTTTAACGTGACTTGCCGCGCTGTGCATATCCCTGGTGTGGAGAATACCACGGCTGATGCTCTTTCTCGTTTCCACTGGCAGGTGTTTCGTTTGGCCGCGCCGGAAGCAGATACGGAAGGCCTCCCCTGTCCCAGAGAGTTATGGTCCCTTGGCCTGAGCGAATAAGGGAATGGATTCGGTCTTCGGTGTCTGAGGCAACTTGGGTTCGGTACGGTAAATCATGGGGGGACTGGGTCGCTTTAGAACAGGACCTAGGTGGGTTCGCTTCGACTTCCGCAAGGGTTCAAGCGATGTTGCGGTTGCTCTGGTTGTGGGAGGCTAGCGGGTGTTCTCCGGCTACGGTCTCAGGGAAGCTATCGGGTCTTAGTTTCTGGTTCAATTTGACTAAGGTGCCTGACGTTACCAAGGACTGCATGGTTCGGCTTGCGATGCGCGGCTGGCGGAAGGGCCCACACTTTCGGGATTCTCGGAGGCCGGTCTCTGGCGCTCTGCTGGTTGGCATTGCGTCGATCTTACCCAGGGTTTGTTTTTCCGATTTGGAGGCACGCCTGTTCCAGGTGGCTTTTACTTTCGCCTTTTTTGGCGCTCTTCGGATCGGCCAGCTTGTAAGCCCTAGCAAACGGATCACAGGGGGCTTGTTGTTCAACGATGTGTCTGTTGTGTCGGATTCGGTGCGTTTTTTGGTGCGGAGGTCCAAAACCGACATCTTCGGCAGGGGGACATGGGTTACCCTCCGCGCCATTCCTGGTTCGGCTGTCTGCCCTGTCGCATCCTTTCAGTCTTATTGTCTTGGTCGCCCGGGCGTTGAGGGCCCTCTATTAATTCATGGGGATGGTTCCTTCCTTTCTCGCTTCCAATTTCTCCGGGTCTTTCGGCTGGCACTCGACCAGTGCCTTTGGGGGACATTCTTTTCGGATTGGGGCCGCAACTGAAGCCTCCCGTTTAGGTTTTTCGGATCAGGCCATTCAGAGGATTGGCAGATGGGAATCGGGGAGGTTTCGGTCCTATGTACGGCCCACACGTCTGATCGGTTTCCCCATTGTGTTTTCTCCACAGGGCCCGGCCGACGGATCTGGCTGATCGGTCATTCTTACATCTACTGGGCTCACCTGCGGGCAGGGGTACGCCCGGGTGGGACTCGGCTCGGAATACCTCGGGAGCTGGCGGAGGTCCGATGGTTCGGGTTCCGGGGCATGAGATGGGGTCAGCTATTGCCTGAGGTTGTGCAGTTATCCACTTTATTAGGAGCACCGGATGTCTTGGTGGTGCATCTGGGGGGAAACGATTTGGGGTCGCTGCCTGCGTGGGGCCTGGGGGAACTAATTTTGCGCGCTTGCGTGTGCTTTTTCCACAACTTTGCTTAGTCTGGTCGGATATCGTTTCCAGGAATTATTGGCAGTGCGCACGCGATCAGGGTGCTATGGAGCGCTGCAGGGTGAAAATTAATAAGCGGGTTTCCAAATTTGTTCTCGGCATCGGGGGCTTAACAGTGTGACACCGTATTTTTGAGCGTGAGGCAGCAATCTATTTTCGCCCGGACGGGGTCCATCTCACTGATGTTGGCTTGGACTTATTTAATTTAGCGCTACAGGACGCGTTGGAGCAGGCCATGGCGTTGCTTGGGGGTCACACCCGCTGATTTAGGCGTAAATGCAGCTGGGGGCTAGTGGCGGGTATGGTCCTTGCCGAACCTATTGGGAAGAGGAGTACAGGAAAAGAAAGATGCTGGGTCGGGTCCCTCCCCTGACCTCGGAAAATGTTTGGGTATTTGGGCGTGCCCTCCGTGCCAGGAAAGGTGGCCAGGGGTTGGCATGTGGAATTGGAAGGCCAAAGTGAAGGCCAGGTATCTTGGATGAGGGGGGAGGGCCGATGCCTTGGTGGTGGGGTGTACCCTAGAGGTTTGGTGGTACGGTTGGCAAGGACTAGGCATACTACACCTGGAAGTTATTTATGGTTGGTTTATTTACATTTGTTCGTTAATTTATAAATAAAGCTGTGGCCTTTTTTATACCACATATACGTTTCCTAGTTTGATTGGGGGGGGGTATTGAATGGATTTTGGGGAATTGGTATGGTTCACAACACACGATAACCGCTACCTACACACAAGGCCCAGAGGAGGCGGGCTGAAAGCTAGCCGGATAGGAGGCATGTGTGGGTGTGGTGGAGATATGGGGGTGTGATTTAGCTTAGGAGTAGGGTGGGGTCATATAAATAGGTGACATTTTGGCTGTTACCTCAGCCATCTTAAATCTAACGGCGAGGTAACTAGTCCCCTCCCTCCCTCCCTTTTTCCGTTTTGTATTGTTTGTCTGTTTGTCATTAATGATTTTTTCTTGTCACAGCCGGCGGGTATGGTCCTTGCCGAACCTATTGGGAAGAGGAGTACAGGAAAAGAAAGATGCTGGGTCGGGTCCCTTCCCTGACCTCGGAAAATGTTTGGGTATTTGGGCGTGCCCTCCGTGCCAGGAAAGGTGGCCAGGGGTTGGCATGTGGAATTGGAAGGCCAAAGGGAAGGCCAGGTATCTTGGACGAGGGGGTAGGGCCGATGCCTTGGTGGTGGGGTGTACCCTAGAGGTTTGGTGGTACGGTTGGCAAGGACTAGGCATACTACACCTGGAAGTTATTTATGGTTGGTTTATTTACATTTGTTCATTAATTTATAAATAAAGCTGTGACCTTTTTTATACCACATATACGTTTCCTAGTTTGATTGGGGGGGGGGGGGTTTTGAATGGATTTTGGGGAAATGTTATGGTGCACAACACCGCGATAACCTTCTACTACACACATGTCCTATCACAGACCACCTGGCTTTCACGGTGCATCCTTGTGCAGTGCAGTGCCACTTGCCAGCCAATGCTTTCCTATTTGAAAGCATTGGATTGGCTAAGTTTATCATCTTGATGATCGCAAGAGGTTAGGCCAGCCACAGACACAGCAGCATGGCGTGGGATCCAAGGTAAATTAACTTTCTAGGAATTAAATTTTAACCCTGGGGGGGAGGGTGAGAGACAGGCACCTTAATTATGACTAGGGTACAATAGCATTAGATATACAAACATGTATTCCTCACACTATAGTGCTAGAGTAGCAGTTTAGGTACCCAGGCCCTGCTCACAGTGGACGTAAGAGGTATTTAAATTTACCTTTTCTCCATCGCGACACCAGTCTCGCTACAGCTGGCCCCGCCTCCTTGGCTGAGATTATCAGTCTTGACTATTTTGACGTAACCATTGGTAGGCTATTGGGCATGTGTGGCAAAATGCCTTGCGGTGCCAATCAGGATATCTTCATAGAGATGCATTGATGCGTTCAGCGCTCAACTGAAATAGGAAGCACCTCTAGTGGCCGTCTGAGTGACTGTTACTAGAGGTGTTACTAGGCAGCAATGTAAACACTGCCTTTTCTATGAAAACATGCAATAGACACCAGAACCACTACATTAGGCTGTACTGGTTCAGGTTACTATACTTAACCTAAGGCCAGAGTAGTCGACCTGAAATCATAGCTGACTTTGAGAATTTCTCCAGCTCGGCTAGTTTGACCTTAAATTTGAAAATCACTTTGAATTCTCACTGTCATGGAAAACAAATCGAAGAAAGACATGACAGAGAGAGAGTCACACAGGAGGTGCCGTCATACATCACATAATCTGCTAATGGGCAGTATATAAAGCGTGCTACTCTGTAGTATGTAGAATTCATGTGCTGCAGGGGAAACTAACAATAAACTAACAAAAGCCAGAGATCTTTTTGATTAAGGATTTACAATCCCATCTGTAGCATTTGATTGCCACGTACTACATGGTCATCGTTACGTTGTAACAGTACGTGTCCTGGAAAACATGGCGGATCCGGCAATTAAGCAGTGAGACTGCGTGGGCATGATCTATACACCAAAACTGCTTCATTAAGCTAAGTTGTTTTGGTGACTGTAGTGTCCCTTTACAAAGAAAAAAACAAATTTTAGGCAGAAATTGAACCAAACCCTGCACCTTGCTAGTTTGGCAATTCTTCAAAACTGGGTTTAGTGGATAAAGCTAATATTTGTATTTAAATAAATGTCACGAAGACCATTTTGTGCTTGGAGTGCTTCTAACAAGGTGTGTAGGGGTTGTAGACACCTGTCCCGTCCTCCACTGCGACATGAACTGGTCCTACAGCCAGGCAACAATACCACACCTTGCTCTCACAAAAATCCTGATCAGCCACTTACCATGTGCAGCCACTGGGATTGGCTGGGTCAGGGGTGGGCGGTGCCCATAGGTGTAGGGGATCTGCAAACACCTGAGAGTTACATTTAGTCTCAGTTTGTCGATCCAGCAGGTATTACGGGTACAGCCACCTGCAGAATGATGGCCTTCTCCTGGCTGTGTGGGATAGTCTGGGCATTGCTTGCGCACACTGTATTTGGTGAGTAACTGGGAAAAACATCTCAATTCTATATTTGTTATTTTCACTAATTATTGCAAACCAGAGAATGGGTGGTAATTTTGAATTATTGTGTAATTAAAATGACCATTCTTGTATCAAGATTAGCACTTTCCCCTCATTGTGCAAAAATTACTTAACATTTTTATAATGTCTCAAATTCTATAATGAAAAAGCCAGACAGGTCATCCCCTCTCATTGATTCACCTGGGATCAAAAATGTAGATGTAACCAATTCTGAAACAATAATGATCTTCTAGGACATCCTTATATTTAGTCCTTTTAGTTTCCCATCAAAATACATTAATTAAACAAATGTGGAGACCTGATCAAGCAGTTGAAAATAACTGATTGAAATGTAGTTGTTCTATCTCACCTTAGTATTTATTTAGTTGTTTGTTTATTTTTACCTTAAAGTCACAATTTCAATGTCCATTCTGCAAAATTCCTGGTTTAGCAAATCCCAATATCTTGAAGCACTAGACTCTGATGACCATAAATAAATTGCTGATAATCGAACGATAAGGTTTTGGAAACCCATGAGAGTAAGAAGATTGTGACCAAGGTCTGCCTTGATTCAGTTTGACTCTGACTGCTAGGCCCCCTAAACCTCCATGATGCTTTGCCAGATTTAAAGGGGTACACTAAGCACCTACACATGATGAGATCAATTGTGCAGGTTAGTTGTGTCATCGCTGTAGGGGGACATGGATGCTTTGGGCAGTTTTGGCAATATATTAACAAAAAACTATTGTATTGACGTCAGAGAGTAGTGTGCTCCGTAGCTCTGGCAGGTGCAGATCGCTGTAAACACTCCCTCCTGGAGCTCGTTGAATTACTCGGAGTGCAGCTGACCCCTTCCCATCATGCACTCTGCGTTCGTAATTGGTACTGGATTGGGAGAAGGTTGTACGGTCGTCTTCGCCGCCAGTAGTTCAGACAACGTGCAACGCTGCCCCTCCCTCCCAACCAACCAGGGTTTCTTTATTCACTCCAAAAAAATAAAAAATAAATTGTCGTCATGGCGGGTTCTTTGGCTGTGCCCATCTAAAGTTCTATTTATGGGATTATCTTGTCCGTGTTATAGAATGATTGGCTGCGTTTGGTGAGAGTCCTCCAGAAGAAATTCTGTATGTTTTAAAACACATGCTGGAATTACAAATGTACTGTATTTTTAGTTTTAGAAAAAGAAAAGATTATCGGATTGTGCACCTCCCATGTCAGTTTTGGACTTTTAGATCAGTAATGTTCCAATGACTGTCTAATTAATGGTGTGGAATCCTGGCTAAATTGATTTAAAAAAACTTGATATAATGGCATAATATCCTGGCCCTTTCCTCTCTGTCAATAAATTTCAATCTTCCCTTCAACTCCAGTATGTGTGTTCCGTTCATATCAAACACCCTCCTCCTCCCCCCCTTATTGTGCCAGTCTCTCTTCTCCTCCTACCCCCCCTTATTGTGCCAGTCTCTCTTCTCCTCCTCCCCCCCTTATTGTGCCAGTCTCTCTTCTCCTCCTCCCCCCATTATTGTGCCAGTCTCTTCTCCTCCTCTGCCCCTTATTGTGCGAGTCTCTTCTCCTCCTCTGCCCCTTATTGTGCCAGTCTCTTCTCCTCCTCTGCCCCTTATTGTGCCAGTCTCTTCTCCTCCTCTGCCCCTTATTGTGCCAGTCTCTTCTCCTCCTCTGCCCCTTATTGTGCCAGTCTCTCTTCTCCTCCTCGCCCCCCTTATTGTGCCAGTTTGTCTCTACCCTCCTTTTTCCTTTATGGACATATCTATCTTACTTCCCACTTATTCTATGCTCTAGCAATGTAATCCCTGAACCTCCTGTTTAATGCCCCTGTCCCCAGTTGTACCAGTTCAATACCTTTTTGAACCCTGTTCTTCCTTTTTCAAACAGTCCCTTGTGTTTTCTGTACTTTATTCATACATTCTCTTTCACACACCCCCCCTTTAACTGTACAAAGAATCTCCATCAAATTCCTGGTCCCTCTTGCATAGACATTCCTAACACTGTCTCTTTTGCTCTCCAGCTTACAATGTAGCTGCTGTCAGACATGCTTTCTAGAGCTTGGCTAGTGACCCATTTTAAATGCCCTTTACCCTGCAATAAAGATGTGATGTTCCACAGGATTAGTGAAAAGTCCCACTGAGTGTAGCTGGCTGCCTTACAGGAATCAATAGAAAATATTTTAAAAATGGATTTTAACATTTTATTTTATGATGCTGATACAACAGAAACCATTATTACAACATGAACAATATATAACAGAGCTACACCTTTGTAGTAACACACTGTTTTGTACTGACATGTTCTGCAACGCTGTACAATAGGTGGCCTTAAAAACCAGTTGGACGTTTTGGAACAAAAGGTGATGAGTCCTGTCCAAATGAGCTTACAATCTAAGAGACAGATCCGTACAATTTTGAATAGCTGTGTATTTAATATGATCTATATGTAAATTTAGTTTATTCTTTTCCTGTTTTTGTCACAGTGCGGGCCGCCTCGCCATTGTTGCCAAGTACTACTTACATCACAATTAATCCCACTCAAACTACGATTACTCTGGAAAAGCCGTACTGCTTGTCGACTGCTGGAAACGCTGTCTACCTGTATGTAATGCAGAGTGGTAAGTGTCCCATACAGGGTGTCATTGGGCGGTTATTTTAAACATATAATGGAACATAGCTCATTAATCTAGATCTGTTTCATTATCCTCACGCTTTCACTGTTATTAACTAAAGATGGAATGCACCCTGTACAAATTAAGTCTGGGCAGGGTTGGAACGGGAGGGCTCGCGGAGGCTGCTGACAAGAGATCTGCAGCTTTTATAAGATTATATATATATATATATATATATATATATATATATATATATATATATATATATATATAACCCCAATGAAGAAAATGGATAAATAAATATACATGTTTTGGGGTATATCTACTAACAGGGCCGCCATCAGGGGGTGACAACCATGAAGGTTGTCACGGGCCCGGTGGGGTGCCCGGCCGCCCGGGCCCCAAATGTAGCGGCGAAACTGGTGCAGTGCAATTGCGCCGACCGGGCCCCTTTAAAAAAAAAAAAATCTCAGCCGCAAAGTACTGCTAGGAGGATGTTGAGGGGGGGACACCCATCAGCCACAGCCTTCCACCTGCAAAAAAGGGTAGCAAAATTAGCATGCATGTGTGTGTCTGTCAGTCATGGTGTATGTGTGTTTAAAAATAGTGTTTTTGCTCACCTGGTCTCCCCTCGACTGGCCCTGCCTCTATAGCTGAGATCATCAAGCTTGATGATCTCAGCCAATCCAATGCTTTGCCATAGGGTTGGCTGCAAAACGCCACTCCAATCAGCATCTCCTCATAGAGATGCATTGAATCAATGTATCTCTATGGGGAACGTTCAGCACCTACAGAGTGTGGAGGCCCTGAATGTAGGTGCACTAACACAGGAAGCACCTCTGGTGACGGTCTGAGTGACTGTCACTAGCAGTGTCACTTTGAAGCAATGTAAACACTGCCTTTTCTCTGAAAAGTCAGTGTTTACATTGAAAAGCCTGTAGCGACATGCTATAGACACCAGTACCACTACATTAAGCTGTGTGTGCGTCTGCTAGTGAGTGAGCTTGCTTGCATGCGTGTGCCTGCTAGTGAGTGAGCTTGTGTTTTTATGTCAATGAGCTGATGTATATCAGTAAGATTGTTTGTCTATGAGGCTGTGTGTCATTGAGATGTCAGTGAAATTGCCTGTGTCTGCATGTGAGTATGCTTACTGTATAATTAAAGGTTTTACCCTGAAAGGACCAATATTTTATATTAGAGAAAAAAAAAAAAAAATATATATTCCATCATCTGTCCTGGCAAGACATAGCCTTATATATTACACGCGACAATATATGGGGCTGGCACAAATTTATTTTTTTTCCAGGGCTGCTTTGTATCCCCAGTCCGGCCCTGAGCAGGGCCGCCACCAGAAATTTTGGGGCCCCTAACTAAGCTCAGGGTCTGGGCCCCTGGGGACCTGCCTCCAAGCCCGCCCACAGGAATATACACACAGACACAAACATTCACTACTGATACAAAAGGATATATATTTACATACATTCAGACAGATATACATGCATACATACACATATTCATAATGCCATGCAGACATGCATAAAGACATACATTTATAATGACATACAGACAGACAGACATCTCATTTTTCAGCCATCTTCCTGTTTCTTACCTTATCTTTGCAGGAGAGTGGCTGGGGTTGATAGGAGTCGGCTGGCTCTCCCTCTTCACTGTAGGGCTGTCTCTCCTCCCGCGCGGAGTGAGGGGCCTGGTCGCGCTATTACACGGCCACAGCGCTGACCGGGCCTCTGAAGATATAGGGCCCATTGGGTGGCCCTAATTGCGTGGGCCACCCGATAGGCCCCATCAGCGCGCGGGTCCCGGTGCAAGTGCACCGGTGGCAGTTCTGCCGCTACACGTGGGGCCTGGGTGGCCGGGGGGGCCTGTGACAACCGTCTAGTTGTCACCACTGATGGCGGCCCTGCCCAATAGGGAAGCATTGCAGCAATGCTTTCCTATGGGGAGAGCATAATGCGCATTTCAGCTATAGTTTCCCTTTAATTGGGTTTGCCTCCAGAAACTCTGGTTGCAGAGAAGATCCAGAAGAAATCTGGTGGTACAGTACTCATTATACTTTGTATCGGATTCACATCTGAGAATTACTGTTTTTAAAGCCCACACCGGATTTATCAGATTTTCTTTTATTAAATCGCTGAGCTGCAAATTCTGAGAAAATATTTGGTACTTTGCCCTGTGCCAATCACCTTCACCTCCCCCAATTCAGTTTTTTTTTTTTTGTTTTTTTTTACCAACAGGAGACTTCAAAGCAAAAACATTTTGGCTATTTTGATCCTAAATTAGAAATTAACATTGAATTCACACTTTAGTAAAAAACTGTGAAAATCTAATTTAAACTTCCTCTCCTTTCCCATTTGTCGTTTCACAGGGGCTTCATCCAACGCAGTTATTAATGCCGCAAACAATATCTTAACCACCACCTACTCTCAATCAACCGGAGGTAGTAAACAACCATACCTGGCCGCCTCATTTGCCATTCCCAGTTGTTCAAGTCTTCCAGACTTCACTAACCTGGGTGATCCGACCAAGGCACAGTCCATCCTGGACAGCTACATCGTCCGAGTGGGAGCTGATGTCACTTGCTTGACTGATCCAAACTTTACAGGATACTGCAATCCCCCCCTTAACAACAGTACTGCTTACAGGTAACACCCCATGTGTTTCGTGGTATTTCTACAGGAAAACTACAAATATAATACATTCTTTTCTAAATTTAGCCCAGATTTATTAATTTATTTTTTATTTTATTTATTTTTATCATCCTAACTCTTGCTCAATATATTTTTAATTTGTTTATAAATCTATTTAAAACCACTGCATGTTCTTGCTGGCCCTGATGTCAGAATCCAAATTCTCGTTTTCTACGAGCTAGTGCTGGCCATTTAAGCCTTTTGAGGGGTTTTTAAATAAGTGCGTACTAATGCTGCCAGTGGCTAATAGTACTGATAATTGTGTATCACAAAGAAAATCCTAAGTGAATTAATCATTTGCAAATATTCAATCAGTGCATTTTACCATGTCTGAATCGTGAATCTTATATTTTTATATAAGATTAGGATATGAAGAGTGCTGCCTCTTTAAAAGGCGAATGGTGTAGATTTGGTTGGAATGACGGAGTTGTGACAGGAACTGGATTTGATAAATACACCTGTACGGCTCTCCCGGCGTAAAGGGGTTAAACCGCCATTTAGTAGAGCTTCCCTTTTGCAGAGGTACAGGCACAGTTACTGTAAGACCCCAAACTCCCGAACTGGAACCAGAGGAATGCTCCAAACTCCCGAACAGTATACCCAGTAGCACTCCAAACTCCCGAACGGTAATCCCACGAATAGCTGCTAACAGACGAGCAGACACAGCATCCAAGCGGCTTACATTCCCAGCAGTCTCTAACCGCGTACAGTAAATCCCCCTCCCAATTACGAGACCAAGCTCCGTATTGAGGGTAAAACAGGATTCTGGTTTATTGAGGGCTACCTGCCCAGTATTTATGCAGGTCTCCCTCCTGGTGGACACTCCCCTAGGGGACCAGTTGGGAGACTGTGACACGCAGCAAATCCTGACACACAGATACAAAATATCCCCTCAATGCACCACAACTCCTCCCTCTCTGTCCAGGAGATAATTGGGAAGTAACCCAATTATCTCCCAGGACAGAGGCAAATCGCCATTTCACACGTGGGGACAATGATACAGAAAAAGGCAATAAAATATATGATGTGACCAATAATGCAACAATTATACACATGTAACATATCCCCAGATAGCTTAGGTCTGAGCGCACATTAATACAGAATAGTGCTCAGACCACACAAATACAGTTTAATTGCCATGGAGCCAAAGTCGTTAATTACACGAACGGGTTCCATGGCATGCTATCTGGGTACCCTCATTCATATAATACAGAGTCCCGAAAGCCGGCATTCAGTTGAATAACTGGTGCGGGAATCAAGGAAGGCTGGAGGTTCAGCGGTGTTTGGTGAGTGAAAGTGTCCACATTCAGCTCACTGAGTCCGGGCACTGAGCACTGCTGGTTGTGCCGGAGACTGTAGAACACCGCCATCGTGTGGCAGCTAAGGTGTAACCGCGACCACCCGGGAACAGTCAATTAAGCTGCGGTTAACTGCAGCTACTGGGTGGTCAATTGACGGCACACGCTAGCTGCGGGAGATCAATTGGAGGCACGTGCCAGCTTCCCAGTGGTCGCTGCTTTCGGTAGTTTAACAGGGGAACACATAGGGACTGTACAGGCAGGGAAATAAACCGAACAAACAGACAAATGGAGGGAAAATAATTGTAATCCATATACAGGATTGTATAAGATTACAACCCAATAGACAGGCAGCATTCTGTGTGAATTTTCACAATATAATATTCAATGACTTATTTATGCTTTTTGTAATGTGGCACATATTGGAACAATATCTGTAATTTGTATTAATTTTTCTTTTTTTATTCTAGGTTTAAATATGTCTATGCAGATGCAGGTGGCGTGGCGCAGTATCAAACAGACTGGTCCGCTCCGATCACCACAAATGGAGGTAAAGAAACCATAAGCGTTAAGTTGGCACAAGCATTCATAAGTGCTATTTTACACTGCCCAACACCCAGTTACTTCTCCACATCCCATTTATTGTACTTCTTCGGGCTACCAAATTCTTGGGGGGAAAAAGCTTGATCACTGCTTATTGCCAAACCTGAAATCCTGTACCATTAATTTATAATTCCTCTGCGGGCTGGAAGAAGCTGGCACCTATGACCAGGTGTTAAGCACTCCAGATTTCGGTTCCTGCCATAAATGTTGGGTCTGGAACCCGCCTCTCCAATTCTCTAGATTCACAGCTTATTCTCCGACAATCACTGTCCGGGGATCTTATCCTGTAGTTTTGACAAACTGGAAAAAAAACTAAACGACTTGAATGGATAGAAATGGTGGGTGGTAGAGGGATCCTCTTGCTGTGTTGCCTTGGAAACAAAAAGGCGAAGAGGTAAGTAGCATTGCAATAATATGTGTACCCCGGTTGGGTACCTCCACCAAGGAAACCTTAGCGCTTCTGCCTCAGTTGCCGTGGCTTGACTGGTGTCTTCCTGGAACAGGATAGGGGGCGAGCTCTATTCCCTCCCAGGGACTGGATGACACACATTCCTGGGAACTATAGTCCTTACAAGGAACTTCCCCACGGAATCCTCTACGAGTTGGAACCAGATGCTGAGCAGTGAATAGCTCTTTCCCCTCCCAGTAACTAGATGACACATGGTTCTGGGAGTACAACTGATTTTAATGAGCCAAACTCTGCTGTGACGAAATGCCTTTTGTCACTGGATTTTTAGGTGACAAGTTGCCCTTTGCCCCTGGCTGTTGACTATGGCTCTGGGTTGTATGGCCCTTTACAAACATTATTTGGGCTAATGGATTTATATTGTGCTGCTGCTGGCCCTTTTAAGAACTGCATTGTGCCTTATGGACTTGTATTGGACCATGCTGGCCCTTTAAGAACCGTCTGGGGACTTATTGAGACTTTGTGTGACAATTCCCCTTTAAGACGGTGTCCCCAGACTTGGTTAAAATTCTTTGTTCATTTCTATTATCCACTTGGTTCAGTAAATGGGGCTTACTGAACCAAGTACCACACAGGCGGACCAACCAGAAGTGGAAGTGTGCAGGCAATTTACCTCCCAGGCTGTAAACTTGCCAACCGCTGGGTGGCCGCAGTTCGTGCAAACGAACACATGGCGGCGGCCATCTTTGTTCATTCGACCGAGGTCAGCGGTGTGTGCAGCCAAATCCATGTAATCGAAATCGGCTACACATTTCAACAATCACCACTGACCCTTATCTTCTCCTACACTCCGTTTTCAGCTACAGAGACTAAGTCCCGTTCGGCAGTTTGAACTCACTGTTGTACTGAGCCAAATGCACGAACGGCCTCGTTCGTGCATTTGAATGGGACTTAGTCATTTTTCTGCATAAAATTGACCGGCCGCACAGTCCAAATCTATGGAACTGTTTTGGGCAGGAAAATGTGCTTGCGGTTGGTCATAAAGGACTTCCGTCTAACTTTTTATCTACTGGGTAGATTTGTCTGATTTTTGAGAGTGTTTATATTTAAAGTGCTGATTCTCAATATGTAATTTCTATGAAGATTGTACGTATATTTTTAAAGTTATAGTGTATGTATAAAAACTGTATTATTCCTGCCTGTGATAATTATGTTAACCATTGTGTACCATAATTATATCACAGGCAGAGGGGAGGATTTTTGTGTGTAATTGCTGGGAGTGTTTTCTGTAATGTACGTGTGTTATTGGTTGTTCTGTAAAACCCTGTGGGTGGTCCTATGTAAGGAAAACCTGCATAAAAGAAGGCCCTTTGGTGCCAAATAAAGCAGATCATCTTGTACCTTCATGAAGTTTCGGCTCATGTTTGGGAGACTGGGGATTGCTATAATCACTATACTCCCCAGGGTATGATCACTAAGCTCTGCTAAGAGCTTGTTCCTGTTCCTGCTCTCTGGAATTCGGAGAGGTTGACCTACTGGAAGCTGGACCCTGGTCTTGGGTCCAGAGTGGGTGGAAACGGCGAGACCCCAACCAAGCTGTGGCGGTTCGTGTGGTCTGCAGTGGTTATGGTGTCCGGTGGAGTGCTTGGAGTCCTCGGGAAGCACTAGGAGCATCCGTCAACGGAAGGTACCCGGTCGGGGTGTAAGCGGTTCCGTTACATCTGCCTTTTATGCACAGACCCTAGCAGGGGGTCTCCATACAATACAGACAAACATAAAAGTACGCCAAAATTTAATAAACATACAGTTACCCCACATGTCCTATATCTCCAAACAGCCCTCAGCTAAACCCCCAATTTTCCAAATAGTGCTCAGATCCATGCAGTATAGGGGAATTGCCAACAAGGTAAAGTTCTGACCGGCTGCACACGTGGTCATGTGCCCATATTAGTTCCAGAGCAATAAGTGCTTTAGCCGGTGAATTTTCGGGGGCTCCAGTGGCTGAAATACGAGGTGCTCCTCCTGGCTCTTAGGGAGCTTTTGTTCCTCATATTCACGGGCATCTTCCCTCCTCTCCTGGTGGGTCGGCAAGTGGGCCAAAATACTGAAACAACACGACCGGGAACCACAAACTCTTCATGCCAAAAATGGTTCCATAGCGGTCACGGCTAAGTACCGCTGAGGACTATTAGTGGGTTTGTTCGTGGGAACAACCGCAAGGGAGCGAGCGTTGGGTTAAATTTGGGAGAGGGAAAGTGCCAAACCAGGGGCACAGAGGAAAAGCTGCAGGGGGAGGCCGGGCAGGCTAACTCCCAAACGGGGTTTCAAGACCCTGACCATAGTCGGTGGGCAGGAGTCCAGCTTCCACAGTCCTGCAGGAGTTCGTGGCAAACGTTTATGGGAAGGAGCGTTTGTCACATGTTACATTTAGCCAACCCATCCACAGCTGCCTTACTATCCTGTCCTTAAAGGACCACTATAGGCACCCAGACTACTTCAGCTTAATGAAGTGGTCTGGGTGCCAGTTCCAGCTAGGGTTAACCCTTTTTTTCTATAAACATAGCAGTTTCAGGGAAACTGCTATGTTTATAAATGGGTTAATCCAGCCTCTAGTGGCTGTCTCATTGACAGCCGCTAGAGGGCTTCTCACTGTGATTTTCACAGTGAAAAGACGCCAACATCCATAGGAAAGCATTGAGAATGCTTGCTTTCCTATGGACTGGCTGAATGCGCGCGCGGCTCATGCCACGCATGCGCATTCAGCCGAAGAGGAGGAGGAGAGCTCCCTGCCCAGCGCTGGAGAAAGAGGTTAGTTGAACCCCTTCCTCACCCTAGAGCCTGGCGGGAGGGGGACCCTGAGGGTGGGGGCACCCTCAGGGCACTATAGTGCCAGGAAAACCGTGTTTTCCTGGCACTATAGTGGTCCTTTAACGGGTATATGACAGAGCAACTGTTACAGCGTGTGCCTGTGTTACATTGCACGGTAGGTGTAATAATGGGGAGCAGACTCTGTCGTATTCCAGTTCTTGAGGAGCAAAACACAATAAAAATTCAAAAATAAAAAAACAACAAATTGTCCAGATTCTAAACTTATTCTAGCAGACTCCTCAATTCCCTCTTTTTAAAACTTGTAATAGTTGTTTTCTGTTTTATCCCTAAATTAAAATTGTAACGCATTACGGGATGTGTCAGCACCTTATAAATTGCAATTATAATGTAATCTAAAAAGATACTTGATGTCACTTTCCATAATTACACTTTGCTGTGAAAGATTCTGGAGTAACAAACCTCACAAACCCAAACACTAATAAATAGAGGCTGAAAATCAAGTGGTTCATAACTACCTCCAGAACACCATGTTAATGCTGATTAAATTTTAACTAGTCCTCTGATAATAACTTGGATCCGACCTTCCCCTCTCTTCAGGCAAAGCGTATTCCACCATTGATACATGGCCTGGCAGGAGAAGTGGTGGGATGATTGTCCTGACGTCCATTCTGAGCGTGCTCCTATTCTTCCTCTTGGTTGGTTTTGCTGGAACAATTTTCGCTTGGGTGACGTGAGTAGAATATTTTTATTTTATTTTTCCCCTCTATGGATAGTAAACATTTTAAAGGACCACTATAGTGCCAGAAAACCAAACTCGTTTTCCTGGCACTATGATGCCCCACACTCAGGGTCCCACTCCCGCCGGGCTGAAGGGGGAGGATGGGGGTTAAACACTCACCTTTCTCCAGTGCCGGGCTCCCTCGGCACTGGGGACTCTCCTCCTCCTTCACATACATTCAGCCAGTCCATAGGAAAGCATTACCAATGCTTTTCCTATGGACGCTGGCGTCTTCTCACTGTGAAAATCACAGTGGGAAGCGCCTCTAGCGGCTGTCAATGAGACATCCACTAGAGGCTGGATTAACTCATTTGTAAACATAGCAGTTTCTCTGGAACTGCTATGTTTACAGCAGTCAAGGTTAATCCTAGATGGACCTGGCACCCAGACCACTTCATTAAGTTGAAGTGGTTTGGGTGCCTAGAGTGGTCCTTTAACCCCTTAAGGACCAAACGTCTGGAATAAAAGGGAATCATGACATGTCACACATGTCATGTGTCCTTAAGGGGTTTAAATGAAGATCCACATTGAAGTGTTCAGTTTCTTGACCCTTTTCCCTTAATTTCCTGAATTTCATCAGATATATAGTTCTCAGTTACTTTTTAATTCAGAGAAATTTCTGGCTGTCCAACTCGGATCGGTTTAAAAAAAAAAAAAATCATTTTCAGCAGCCTCTGATGATTATTATTGGCGGAACAGGTTTTGCCCAAAGCCAGGAATGTAAACAGACGTGCTTGTGTTCTGTACAGAGTCCAAGAGGTTTTGTCTGCCTCTCAGTGTGGGCCAAGCAGACCTTATCATACATAAAACAATGTAACCAGAGCACATTCCTAGGAAAAGAATCAGTGTGTGACATTTTTTTTTTTTGTAAATTTTTTTTTTTTTTTAATATAAATTTGGATATTTATAGCTGTCCTATATTTTGCTTTTATTGCAGAGGTGGGCCAACGGGTGTTGAGTCTACAGCATATGATACTCGGACCAGCATCAAGGCACCAGCAAAGCCTTCCAGCAGCGCTGAACCAGTTTATTCCACAACTCACGAGTATTCGCCACACCCGCAGGCGTGAGAGGCTGAAAATTATTAGCTTTTGGTTATACTCAAAACACATCTGTATAAATTTTCTATGTAGACTGTGTGACATGATCATGAACCAATTACCCTTTTGTTAATTACAGGTAGTTTTTTTTTTGTTTTGTTTTTCTTCGCATTATATTTCAGTACTAACTACAAATCTGATTGTGAAACTCTAATAGAGAAGCCTCCAAACCGTTATTGGACTAAAGTTATTTAAACTCCTTCCTCAGTTTAACAATGACAGAACTTTCTATTCATAGTGTTTTCCAAGAGAAAGGGAGTGAGTAAATGCTAATAAACTATTTCTTAGAAAGGCGTTTCCTGTGTTACAATTAATCCTGAATTCTATCACGGAATAAATGACCTTCAATGGTTTTCTTCCCATTCATTGACAGAGATGATACATGGTGAAATGAAAAGGACTCCAAGAATATGTCATTTTATAGATTTTATTTTTTTTCTGATGTTTATAATCTTAAAACAAGTAGGCCAAGTATACCATTTTCAGGTGCGTTCTACAGGTTTCCATGGCTACTGCTCCACTTTTAGCACTTCTCCCAGAATTGCTATTTATAAATTTGCACTCGGAGCTATATGTTTTACTGTTTTTGTTCCGCCTTTTTTTTTTTTTTTCTGTTGTGATTTTATGAGCAGTAACTCTCAATTACGCTGTAAGTACAAGTGTTTTATAAAAAATCTTAAATGTATACTTTCCTCCTTCAATTTGTTGAACAGCTTGCAATAAAGTGTGTTTTTTTTTTTTTTGTTTTTTTTTTCTAGCATTTTTGTTTTCCGTTACCTGAGGTATTGATGATCGTTAAGATGTTACAGTAGACTGCCACCAGAGGCAATGTAAACATTTTATTTAAAACTGTACTGTTTTACATTGCAGGGCTAAGGGGGACAGGGAAACTGCACACAGACCATTTTTAGCCCCTTTAGGACCAAGCTTCTGGAATAAAAGGGTATCATGACATGTCACATGTCATGTGTCCTTAAGGGGTTAACGGGATAAATGCCCCTTTAATAGTTTCAATCAGAGATGAACTCTTCTCAACAGACTGAGGTTTTCACCTCCATAAAAGCCATCTACCATAATGTTACAGCACAGATACGCATCCCCTGGGCCCCTCCCCGACCCTTTCAGCTCATCAATGGCAAGAGGCTGGGTTGCCCACTGTCCCCTCTTCTGTTCTTCTTAGCCTTAGAGCCCCACTACGCAGCCACTCAAGGGATAGAGGAAGGGTGCTGCGAATTCCTAGTCTCTGCATTTGCCGATGATGTCCTGCTGACCCTAACGACACCTGTCGCCTCCATGGGGGTGGTTAAGGAGATGCTTATGCGAGTGTGCCTAATATCAGACTACAAAACAAATATGACCAAATCTAGCGATCTCTCGATAGGACTTTCTGCGGGGTACACGGCAATCGTACACAGGGATCACGGACTCCGGATAGGGAAACGCTCGATCACATACCTAGGAATTTAACTGAAAGCAGACCCCTCTAAAATGTGAGAATGTAACTACCCCCCTTTAACTAAAGTCCTCATCAGGGACATGGAGAATTGGATGAATAATCCTATCTCATGGATGGAAAGAATCCATTCCATCAAAATGAACATTCTCCCGTGAATGCTCTTCCTCTTCCAAGCCCTACCAGTCACAAAAACCAACCTTGCTCAACTACAAAAAGCAATTGGCATGTTTTATATGGCAAAATAAGACACAAGCTGTCGCAAAACATATTGTACTGTCCAAAACGACTGGGTGGCCTGGGCTTAACCACCTTTACTATTATTATTTGGCAGCGCAACTAGCCCAAGTAGCCATGTGGCATGCCCCCTTAGAGGTAAGGAAGTGGGTTGACCTCGAGACCTCCTGTAATATTTCATGTGGGTACCAAAGGAGTTCTGGTCCTTGACACGAACGGAATGCCCAGCTATCCTTAACTCTCTGCGTCTATGGGACACCTCAGCTCAGAAATCTAGTTTGGCATCCTCCCCTTCACAGCTAATGCCCTACTTGAGGAACAGAGCTTTTGCTTCGAGCACATAGAGCAGGCGGGGTTACAGAGAATCTGCCATCTGTACGTAGACAGGAATACCATTCTATTCGATGCCTTTCAACAAAGACGACACCTCACCCCTGCGGATTTTTTTCAGATACCTACAGATTGCATATTTCGCTATACAACCACACTTTCCTTGAGAAAATGTGCCTTAAAGAACAGTCACCTAAGGGACTGATCACCTTATGATATGCCCAACTATGTTCAGAGACAAAAGACTGGGGAAGATTGACGTACGCAGACCCGTAAAAAAACAAAAACAATTAAACGATTCAAGATGTATCACCTGCCATTTGGATATAGTTTTTTTTTTTTTCTTTAAAGAAACAATATATGTCCCCTACAATTTAAATTATAGGAAGTAATGATATAACTTAAATTGGAGATGTTGCTTGCCATGATTTTTAATATTATTTTTACTTCTCCTTATATTTAAAAAAAATATGTATTTGAGGGTGGAAAAAAAATTAAAAGTAGAATTCCATCCTCTTTATCCTGGAACTGGGCACATCCATCTTAGCTCCCTGTCAATCATTGTTATAAGCTCCGCCCTTTACACCTGGCAGTCAGTATAGATCAGTGGCGTCTCCAGCATTCATATTTAGGGGGGGCACATGGGGGGCCGGGGACAGAAGTAGGGGGGCAATTACAAAACGTGTGTGTGTGTGTGTGTGTGTGTACACACACATGCGTGAAGAACATTTAAAAGTTAACAAAATTCAGATTTCCAGCACCTTGATAAATATGCTTAAGTCTGCTTTAGAGATGCAATTGTAACAATATCTCATGATGCCAGAATTGTTACAAAACTAGTTTAAAAAAAATATATATATTTTAAAAAATAATTTACAACATGCAATTTGAAGGGAATTTAAATTAACACTTCTATATAAATATTTCACATACATAGAAAATGGTCACTTAACAGTGTATTCTCTACGCTACAGTTTAAGCATTTTAAAGTGACACAAAGTTGTATTTTGAAATGCTAATTCAAGTGAATTTTTACTGTAAGAAGAGCAGATTTAGCTCCACTTCCATGAACAATTAAAAATGGTTGGCACTAAAGTTTGTGCCCTGACCTATAGTTGGTGAATACTATACCAACACAAACTAAAATTACTTGTTTCATTCTCTTGCTCACAATATGGAATCCTGGGTACATGCATATCATTTACTCAAAAGCTGCAATTAAAGTTCACGTTACTTACAGTAGTAGTGCCACTGTCTGGAGTGTCTGCTCCGCTCACTCAGTCCCTCTGCAAATTGCACTCTCAGGTAGTTAAGGTTTCACACCTTATGTGGGGCCGCACTGCAAACTGTTTGCAATCTCTGGTAAGTAAGGTGACACTGTCACAACACTGTCTGCAATCTCAGGAGTAAGTGCCACTGTCATACCACTCAATGTCTGCAATCAGGAGTAAGTGCCACTGTCATACCACTCACTGTCTGCAATCAGGAGTAAGTAACCTTTGTCACACTCACACCACTCACTGTAATCAGTGCAATTAATTCACTTTTCTCAGAACCTAGATGTGGCAGAGGCAGCGGGCCACAATACCTGCTCCTCTCTGCTTGATCTGTTCTGCCTCCTTTGCTCTTGCTCCTCTATGCTTGCTCTGCTCCTCTTTGCTTGCTCTGCTCCGCCTCCTCTCTGCCTGCTGTGCTTCTATTTGCATGGTCTGCTTTTACTCCTCTCTGCTTGCTCTGCTCCGCCACTCTCGACTTGCTCTGCCTTTCTCTACTTACTATGCTCCGCTCCTCTCTACTTGCTCTGCTCCTCTCTGCTCTTGTCCTCTCTAATTGCTCTGCGCTGCCTCTTCTCTGCTTGTTCTGCTCCTCTCTGTTTTCTCTGCTCCTGCACACATATTGCCTAATACATACAAACCCATACATACACACTGCCTAATACATCCATCCATCCATTTATACACACATATTGCCTAATACATAGACCCATAAGCGCACACTGCCTAATACATACTCACTGAATACTTACATCCATACACACACACTGCCTAATACATCCATCTGCACACACATATTGCACAATACATATATTGCCTAATACATACACCCATACACGCACAGTGCCTAATACATACATCCATACACACGTACTGCCAAATACCAGACATCCCATGTCTCCCGGTAGTTTGGGGAGACTCTCGCATGTTGAATGCGGTTCCCTGACACCCGCAGATCATACATAATATCCCGGAAATCACACACACAATCAAATCTATAAAGTATGACTTCTGTGCATGTCAATATGTGTGTGTATCTGTGTGTGTTTCAGTGTGTGTATCTGAATGTATGTGCCATTGTGCGTTTCAATGTGTGTATCTGTGTGTCAGTGTGTATGTGCCAGAGTGTGTGTATGTGCCAGTACGCATATCTGTGTGTCTGTGTGTGTTGGTGGAGGGGGGGGGGAGTGAGCGCAAGCATGTCAGGGGGAGGTGGAGTGACCGCACATGTGCACGGGGGTGGCGTAGTAAATTGTGAAACCACCTCCCTGAAATGCATTTTTGCATGTTGGGATACATTTTACATTAAATATATAATTTATAGCTGTGATAATATTTTCATTAATTTGGTGGGATTTTATTTATAATATTGTGGGATTTAATTTATAGTAATGGGTTTACGTTAATTAATGTTACAGTGAACCTGTCTAAGGTTCACTGTAAGAAACTTTTTTCATTATAATCTATCAAATGTATTATGAATATAATTGGTCGCATAGTCACTCGCACACACTCTAACATACACTACTTACTGAAGTATACACACGTCACACACTCACTAACACACGTATTAAGTATATACACAATGTCACTGACACACTCACTAACACACACTATTATTAAGTATACACACAATGTCACACACTAACACATTATTATTACGTATACACACGTCACTGACACACACTATTAAGTATACACACAATGTCACACACTCCCACTAACACTCACTATTATTAAGTATACACACAATGTGCCACAATCTCACTAACACACACTGTTAAGTATACACATAATGTCACTGACACTATTAAGTATACACACAATGTCTCACACTCTCACTAACACACACTATTCAGTATACACACACAATGTCTCACACTCTCACTAACACACACTATTCAGTATACACATACTCTCACTAACACACACTAATCAGTATACACACACACAATCAATGTCTCACACTCTCACTAACACACACTAATCAGTATACACACACACACAATATCTTACACTCTCACTAACACACACTATTCAGTATACACACACACACACAATGTCTCACACTCTCACTAACACACACTATTCAGTATACACACACACACAATATCTTACACTCTCACTCACACACTATTCAGTATACACACACAATGTCTCACACTCTCACTAACACACACTATTCAGTATACATACACACAATATCTTACACTCTCACTAACACACACTATTTAGTATACACACACACACAATGTCTCACACTCTCACTAACACACACTCTTACTGAACTATACACACACAATGTCACTCACACCAGTTTAGTCACACTTTATACACACACAAACATACACAATATGATCAGCCCCCTTGGGCTCCATGTGGGCCATCCCTGTGCTAGGGCTGTGGAGGAGGATCCATTCAGTACTTACTGCTGGCTGGGCTCCCTCCA